AATTCAGATGAAATTAATCAAAAGAAATTGGGTTTATATAAATTGTATTTCGTGTTTTTGATAAGATTTTTTTAGAGGATATTGTTGAGTTTTATGGTGTAGCGAAGGAATACAAGATAGGTAATTCTATAATGAAGTATAACAGCGTTTGAATCAAGACGTAAATCGAAAATAAATTGAAGAATTCAACAATCATTCGAAATATATTGTAAAAAATACGTCAAATTCTTTATAAGAAGTACACGAGAAACAAAAGTATATTGAAAATGAAACTTAAAATTCAGATGAAATTAATCAAAAGAAATTGGGTTTATATAAAGTTTATTTCGTGTTTTCGATAAGTAAAGCAAAGATAAATTGAAGAATTTAACAATCATTTCAAAAATATAGTAAAGAATTTGACGTAAATGAAAGTAAAACGTTTTTTGAAAGTTATAGTTTAAAATCAAAGTAATATTTTATAAGAAATTTGGTTTATATAAATTGTGTGTTTTTTTTAGAAGATACTTTGTAGTTGAATTATGTGTTCGAATAGGATATTGATGTGTTTTATGGTGTAGCGAAGGAATTGAGAGGTTCGTCGAGAGGATAGGAGGAGGATGTGTGCTGCCGTCGCGATTTGTATTATAAATCACGCAGTTAAGGAGACAACTCTTCGCCGTGTGACACATTTAGGAGAGGACCGTTTAAAGCCGACACTTGGGGAAGATGGAATAATCGCACATGCCGCGCGACACATATGATGTACGCTCTCCGGGGGACATCATCAACATCATCATAGTCATGATCACACGGCGAATTAAATAAATGGACACACACGGACAAAGCATAAAGGGGACGTGGAGATGCCGGGAGAGGACAATTGGTCTGTGTTTGTGTATGTATTTTCGTGTATCCGTGTGTGTGTGTGAATCCACAGGTTTGGCCGGTGAGAGGTCGTATGTACGGCTTGTTATCCCCATCCGGGGTGTTGCAGGATCGGGATTTCGCGGGGTTTTCCACCCTCGACGCGTCCCGACGGGGGGTTGGAATGAGTTATGGGCCCGGCACTCCATTTACAGATCATTCCGAAAGACTGTGTGTGTGTGTTTTTAGAGTGAGAGATGGATGAATGAATGTGAGAGAGTCTTTCGTACATCAATTCCCCATCATCGATACTAATTAATTCGCAGGTAATGTGTTCGTGGTGGATGAGTAGAAGGAGGAGGAGAAGAAGAGGGTCTTCAGGTGCGTGTGCCCGGGTGTCGCCGCCTCCTCGCGTGCTAACGTCCCGTAAAACCTTAATGTCCTCCGCGGCGCAATACCACTATTAGGAGGATTACATTCCCCTTTTTATTTTCAACAATATCACTAGGCTGCGTCTCTCTCACCTTGCTGGCTGTTCTTCCTCGTCGTCTTCTTCTCCTTCATCCACGGATACTCCGGCACGTTGACTCCTGGTGATCCGAGGCCGTGCGGTACGTCCATCGGATAAGGGCCTGCACCTGGTGGCGTCAGCTGCGGAGGTGAGATCTGCGGCTGCATCTCCGCGGCGCTCGGAAGATGCGGAAGGGCCGTCATGAATTCGGCCATCGAGGGTTGACTGTTGATGAATCCCGACTCGTTGCATCCTTCGAGCGGGTGCGTCTGGGCCCCGGGCAGCCAGAATCCGGCGGCCCCGGGTCCTTCCGGCGTCGTCGACCGCGTCTTGACCACTACGAAATCCTCCTCCTCCAAGTGTCCCGCCGGCATCCGGAGAGGGTGTCTAATTCGCATCTACACAAACCGCATAACACACTGTACCATCCGCACACGGTATATACAACCAAAAAGAAACGAGCACCAGCACCTGGACTTGTCCGAACAACTCAAGAACAAATAATTTTTATTTTCAAAAACACGAAGATGAATTCTCTTCTTTCCTTAATTCCTCTTTATATATTGTTGTATATTAATTATTTTTTTTTGTTTGGTTACTTGAGTCCAGTTTAAACACCCGCGAAATCTGCCTGGGACCAGAAATAGGAAACGATTGTTACGTGTATGTTCGTAGTTACTGTTAGCGAGTCGGCTTGTTTTTGTTTCTTTCCCATTGAAGAGGATGATGGCCGGTCACGTGGGCCACGGTAGTCCAATGACAGGCGCAGTAAGCCTCTCCGAAGAGGCGGTGGGTTGGCTCTGGAGGCGGGACCCGATCCTAGCCTAGCGTGACGGCCCGCACGGCAATTATACTCACACACACACACTCGTACACTCACACGCTCACACCGCAAGAATTTTTTAAAAAATATGGAAAATACATGCCGCCCCTCGACTCGCCCCCTCGCCCCACGATTTCATATTTCTTTCTCCCCTCATTCATTAAATACATCCATATACTTTTTTCTTCTTCTCTATACCTCCACTTGCTTCTATTTTTATATTCCAAAAAAAAATATATAATATTTTCTTCAATTTTTCAAAAGGAAATAATCCTTTTTACATCGAACTTTCCTTCGATTACGTTAATTTCTCAGTATAATACTCATAATCCGCACGCTTCTTTTATTCTCTTCAAATTGTCTATCTTAACTTGATTCGTTTTACGTCGACTTCTTATATTCAAAACTTCGACAGTCTTGATCAATTTCTTCTTGTTTTATTAAGTTTCTAATGTTTTCTTCAATTACGTCTTTGATTTCTTAATATTATTTATATTTTTATCGTTATTGTTATTAATTCCAAAACAACTATATTTTTCATTACGTCGTTTTCCTTGCATTAATGATGTACTTCGATTTTGCTTCTTTCAAAAATTTTTCAATTTGAAAAGATTCACTTTATTATTTCATCTTATATCAGAATACTTCAAATTCTTTGATTTCTCAATATTATCTTCGGTTTTCGTTATTAAAAAAAATATTATACCATTGATTCTCTTTACGTCGATTTATAAAAGTTGAAACTCTGAGAATCTTGTCCTATTTACGAAATGTTTCGGTTTTCTTCTTGATTTCGTCATGTCATCTTCGCTTTAAGTCATGATTCGAACGCTTGGTAGTTTGCTCAAAATTATCTGTTTGGTTTGTTTCGATCCTAACGTTTCCTATAGTCAGCGTGCTTCGCTTTACGTCGAGTTACATGCTTCAAATTCTCAATAGTTGTTTCGATGTATAATTCTGCGTGCTTCGCTTTACGTTGAAATCGTAACGTCACTAGTTGTATTCTCCTATTGTTCGAACGGTATTGTTGTAGTTTGCTCAAAATGATCTATTTGGCTTGTTTCGCTCTACGTTAATCTAAACGTTTATTATTTTGTTTCAAATTATTAATGGTTGTTTTGATGCATATATTCAAAATTGTGCTTCGCTTTACGTCCAAAATTTAACATCACTATTTGTTCGAATGCTTCGATTTACGTTTTGATGTTCGCGCTCGAAATCTTAACGTCACGATTCTGTTGATTCAATTGTGCTTCGCTATACGTCGAATTCTCCGCGTCACGGACCCGACGGTGATTTTCGCGCGTTTTAAAGTAGCGCTTCGCTTAACGTCGTATTTTTCGCGTCGCTATCGGTGTCGCGGGTTCTGCCGTTCTGTGCGTCGTGACGGTGAGCGATGCGCTGTTAAATAGCAAAAGGGGACGACGCCAAAAGCGTCGTGGTTGTTGACGTCGTGAGGACGCCGCGCGCTTCCCAATAAACTTGGTGGGGCGTGAGTATCTTTTACCATTTGATGTGCCGTCACTTACTCGAATATACCATTACATCATACCATCACCCCATCATCCCATATCTATATAAAAATTTTATTCACCCTCAAAAGATAACTCGACGGTTACATTCTTTATTTATTTATTTTTATTATTTTTTTCCATCGTTTTGTTTGTTGAAGTTGTTGTAGTTGTAATAGTTGTTGAGGTTCCCTCGGCTCTCGCTTCCCGTCTTGTTTCTTTTCACGTAAATAAACACATTAGAAGACTTAATGAGCATTTAATTTGTACATTTCCACGGAAAAAGAATCGAAAAGAGGAAAGAAGAACAGAAAACAGTAGAAACTATCAAAGTATTTTACTTGCATGCAGTCGCATTCGGCCGAAAGCAAATTGAAACTTTTCTCTCTCTCTCCTCCTTCTCTGTTTTAGTCTTTTTGTTTCCACGACAAACGCATCAGACGTTCTAAAATATGTATGTCGGGTGTCCTGAAACGAGTGAAGGTTTTTACACGAAATTGAACCTTCGATGCATTTCAAATCTACTTTCGAAAAAAAAAAAAACATAAAATTGACTATTTTGTCAATTCATCATTAATCGTTAATTATCAGTTAATTAAAGTAAAACAACTAATTTCCATATATTTACACACAATTAAAATATGAGGAATATAAGTGCATTTTTAAAACAATCCGATACAAAATAAGTAAATCTTACAAATTACAAATCTTTATTTATTTTCTTGTAAAAATAATTTTTAAATGTTTACTATTTTATAAAAAGCGTAACTGTGTACAATTTTATAATTAAATCAGACTATAAAATAATTGTTTTAGTTTAAAGTATTAAAAAATCGGTATTAATATATAAAAAGTTTCATTAAATTTCAACTTAAAAATTTAGTTGCAATTGATTGTATTTTTACAATTTTAGCAAATAAACTACAAATTTATGAAATAATGAAATTGAATAATAAAAAGTAGTTGAACTTCAAAATATAACATTTATTATTTAATTTTCTGATTTAGAAAAAAAAAATTGTATAATTAATAATTTTTTGCACTTAAAAATCTTTAATTTTTTTTAAACATTTTAGTATTGATATAATAAAATAACAGTTATTATAATCTTATAAGTAATAAATATGACCTTAATTCTCTTCTAAATAGAAGGAAGTTCTATTCAAAACTAAAGCCTGAATATGTCTTTCTTTATGAGTAAACTAGATAACTTGAAAACGTTCAAAGTTAAAACTATACAACAGCATCTCACTTAGTGAGGATAATCTGGGATTATTAAAAAATGGATTAATCTCAGTTTTTAAAACCGTATAAAAGCAGCACAAAAACTTGACTTGATGTACTGTTATAAGAGAGAAAAAAACGAGGATATAATAAACAATTCTGTGTATTCAGTTTTTACAATTTATTTTGTTCAAGTAAAGTTATAGTGTGTTATGAAAATTTCAAACCGTGAATTCTTACTATTCGAAACCGCATTATGCGAGATATTGTTGTATATATATATTTGATTTCTTTTTAAATTATTGATTGTAAAGTACTAACATTTCTTTAATAATCTAATTTCATTGATTTATATAATTCTCTTCTAAATAGAAGAAAGTTATATTCAAAACTAATACCTGAATATGTCTTCCTTTGTGACTAAACTAGATAAAATGAAAACGTTCAAAGTTAAAACTATACAACAGCATCTCACTTAGTGAGGATAATCTCGGATAATTAGAAACTGGATTAATCTCAGATTTTAGAACCGTATAAAAATAAGCAACACAAAAAGAGACTTGAAGAGACAATATCTCACATAGTGTGGACAATCCAGGACTGTTACAATCCGGACTTAACGAGGACTTTAAAACCGTATAAAAATAAGCAGCACAAAAAGAGAATTGCTGTTTAAAGAGGAAAAAAACATTTTTGTGTATTTAGTTATTACTGTTAGAAACCGCACTATGCGAGGTATTGCTGTATTTATATTTGATTTTTTAAATTATTCATTGTAAAGTACTAACATTTCTTATATAATAAAAATTTTTTTGCATAATATATTACAAATAAATAGATTATATAAAATTAGGTTATTATTATCATCATCAACGTTCGTTTCATGATAAGGCAATTGCTTGTGTAATAGTAATATAAAAAGAGACAAACCAAACGTAATTTGAAATAATTATGTTGTTTTATTATGACGTGTATAGAATAAACACAAACTCACCGACCTTGCCACTAAGCCTGATATAACGTTCATTCCTTTCATTTGCCTTTTCACGCATTCTTTAATATTTCAATGAAATGATAATTTTTCTGTATTATATGAAAAATTTTCATTTTTTTCTGTTTTTACATTGATTAATCTAAAAAATAACTTCGAATAAATAAATACTTTTAATAACTTATAATTTAATGATAATTTAAAATATTTAAAATTGATTATAAATTATGAAGAATTGGTATAANTCAAAACTATAAATAAATAATTTTAATAACTTATAATTTAATGATAATTTAAAATATTTAAAATTATAATTTCAATTCTGAATTCTTGGTATAAATAAAGTTTTAATAATTTGAAAAAAAAATGTTAGAATAACGATTCTTAAACCCACACATGATATAATTTACATAGTTTATTTGTATTAAATTTGCTTCTAACAATTCAAAATTTAATGAAAAAAAAACTACATTTTTTAGTTTTGAATATTTAATTTTTTTTTAATACAATAATTTTATAAAATTTGGTATTAATAAGTTAAGAGTAACGTTTCATAACACAACACACTTCTACAATATACATAGTTTATTTTAAAGAGAATAAATTTACTTTTAATATATCATAATGTATTGAAATAAAAATTTTCAATATTTGAATTATCGCTTAAAATATAGAATTTTAAGCGATTACATAAATATCAATGTTAAAGTAAGTAACATGAATTTAATTTAATTGTAATACTTAAAAGTTTAATGAAAAACATGCTAAATTTTTAGTTTTAAATATTTGATTTTATTTATATTTGAAAAAATAATTTTCATGTTTTTTTTCTGTAATTTATTAGAAATTTATACTTTTAATAATGTAAAATTTAATGAAAAAAATTGTTTTTTAATATAGAAAAAAAAATCTGTCAGAATAACGATGCTTAACGCCACACACATCACATTATTTACATAGTTTATTTTAATTGGATTAAATTTGATTCTAGTACATTTATTCATAATTTAATGAAAAAAATACATTTTTAGTGTTAAATATTTGATTTTTTTTTTCAATATTAAACGATAATATTGTAAAAGTTTATACAAATAAGTTAAGAATAACGTTTCTTAACACCACACACATCTACAACATACTCAGTTCATTTTAAAGCGAATTATTGGAATAAATTTACTTTTAATATTTTTACTTTGAATATTTGAAATATCTTCTATATTTTATGTGATCACATAATTAACTTTGTTAAAGTGATTACTTGGAATAAATTGAATTGCAATAATTCAAAGTTTAATGCTAAATTTTAAGTTTTCAAACTTGTTCTGTTTATATTTGAATAAAAATTATCATTTTTCATGTTTTTTTTTGACATTGTTCATAAATATTTGGAATAAATTGACCAGATTTTTACTCTTATAACATATTGAAAAATACACATAATATGTGTACACAAGTTTTAAAAATGTTGTAT